CCCCAGCACGGCAGCTGGCACCAGGGATGGGCAGCCGTGTGTGCCGGTGACCTGCCACCCACCTCCTCCTGCTTACTGGCCTCTTTCAATGTCCAGAAATAAATTTAAAAATAAAAATCAGGCTGATAACTTGCACGGAGCCAATTTCAGCCACTTTTCAGGCTGGTTTCACTGAGCAGGGCTGGTACCAAACACCCACCACAACCCCCAGGGCAGCGCGTGGCGGTGCTGGGCAGGGGCAGTGAGGGGCTGCAGGACATCCCGGGCAGAGCTCTCACCCTGGCACAGCCCAGGGCTAACCTGGCACCCATGGGCTCTAACACCCTGAGCACGGTGCCAGCAGGAGCAGGGAGGTGACCCCAGAGCTGTCACCGAGCCGCAGCCCCTGTCCCTGTGTCCCAGCACCGTATCTGTGCACAGAGAAACCTGCTGAAGCCACGGCCACGCTCGGGAAGGGCCACGGGAAGGGAAAGCGCTCACCTCCTTCTGACTGACGTACAAATAGAAAGTCTTCCCTTCGAACTTCATTTTGGTCACCTCGTTCCTGAAAGGAGAAGGAGAAGCTGGTGAGAGGCTGTGCAGAGCCCAGCGCATCCCGACTGGCTCACGTGCATGGCCCCAGCCAAAGCGCTCGCTGGGAGCAGTGGGTCATGCACCGCGGCTTTGGGGACAGCAGGGCAGCCCCCAGACCCTGAGTTCACCGCCTGGGAGGTGCCGTGGGGTGGTGAGAGGAGCCCTGGCTCAGAAATCAGCAGCTGGAAAGGGGAATGCCTTGGGGTGAAGCTGGTGGTCAATGGGAGTCACTGGGACCTCGTCACACGGACACTGGCCGGGTGGCAATGCCAGCTGTGAGGGACAGTCCCTGGAGGGATTGAAGAGTCGTGTAGACATAGTGCTGAGGGACATGGGTTAGTCGGGGACTGGTCAGTGTTGGGTTCATGGTTGGACTCAATGAGCTTCAAGGGCTTTTCCAATCCAGGCCATGCTGGGATGCTGTGTGATTCTGTGTTTTCTCTCCTGTTTCTGAGAAGCGAGCGTGCAAGCTCACGGGTGTGCTGGTGCAAGGGTGTGCAGGGCACGGGATGGGTCTCCCAGCTGCTGCAGCATTGCTCCCCTCCGTGTCCTCAGCTCAGACCCCGTCCCAGCTCAGACACAAGCACTGAGTCCATTTACTCCTGTCCCGTACGGGCACATCACCCACATCCCAGTGCGGTGTGAGCACCCAGGGAAGGCACCCAGTGCTGGGATCACCCACGCACCCCATCTGTGGGAGCTCACCCGAGCACCCCTCAAACACCCTGGGGTGACGTGGGACACTTACATCCCACCGTATCCCGCATATCTCGCGACAGAGCAAGCAGCAGTGAGCCGGCCAGCACAGCTCCAGGGGAACAGGGCACTGTGAGTGACGCCAGGATGGGAACTCACCACTTGATGAAGTGAACTCGCTTGTTTCCCTGCAGAACAACAAAACCGAAGGGAGTGAAGGCCAAAAACGCCGCGTTCCCCGACACGTCCTGGAAGAAAACACCCATTTCTCAGCAAAACGTTGCCAAGTTGGCAAAGCTCAGATGCCATCGGTGACCCTTGGGCGCCGGCAATGCAGAATCCTCTGTGCCGGGACGCTGCCGGCAGGTTCCCCGGGTCCGCGGCATCCTGCACACGGCAAAACCCGCAGCCGAGTAATGGGGTAGCTGGTCCAGAGGCTCTAACGTGGAGAAACCACAACACCCACTTTATCCCAGTGAGGGGTAAACAGCCACGGCACTGCCCCACCAACCCTGTCACTATTAAACATGAAAATGGTAAAACCCCGTCACACTTGACTGGGAGCCCTGCGCAGCCAGTGTGGTTGGGTGGCATCGAGGCAGTTTAAAGCCAATAATTAGTGTCACATCCAGAGCAACTGGATCATAACGTCGGCACTCCAGGGAAGCGATCGGTGACTGCACGGGAAAACCAGATACGCTGAATTTTAAAAGTGTTATGGAAGAGTTGTGGCCACTCAGTAATTGTTAGATTCGCCCTGACGTTCAGATGCTTTTGAAGGATGCCGAGTCGCAGGGTGGGCACATGCCAGGCTCGGGATTGCTGGTGCACGGAGCAGGAAAAGCAGACAAGGAATTTTACAGGGGCAGCTCCAGACAAGTGATGCCCGTTTGGCGTTTGCAGTGTTTTCTTGGGGAACAGCGGATGCAGAACAGCTCTGCTCACTGCTGGGATGCCCCGTGCCCAGCATCTCCCCAGCTCAGGGGGACAACTCTCCCAGTTGTGGCCCTCCCTGGCTTAATCAAGAGGTGAGATGTCTTCTCTGCTCTTTGCATTCCACCCCGGGATGCTGGATCGCTTGTGGGCACAGTGCAGGGACGGCAGGGAGTCAGTGCTGTGATGAGATCTTGAAAATCTGAGCAGAGAACAAATTGGTTTTAAATCCAAAACTGTGTTCAGTGTTGGGCCCCTGACTCCAGGAAGGACATGGAGGTGCTGGAGCGTGTCCAGAGAAGGGAACGGAGCTGGGGAAGGGTCAGGAGCACAAGTGTGCTGAGTTCCCTTGTGGCTGAGGGAACTGGGGGTGTTGAGCCTGGAGAAAAGGAGGCTGAGGGGAGACCTTGTGGCTCTGTGCAAGTCCCTTGGAGGAGGGTGGAGAGAGGTGGGGGTGGGTCTGTTCAACCAAGGAGCAAGGGACAGGACAAGAGGAAATGGGCTCCAGTTGTGGCCAGGGCAGTTGAGATGGGATGTGAGGAAGGATTTCTTTGCTGCAAGGGTTCTGAGGCATTGGAAAGGGTTGCCCAGGGCAGTGGTGGAGTCCCCATCGCTGGAGGGATTGGAGAGTCATGTAGACACAGTGCTGAGGGACATGGGTTAGTCGGGGACTTGTCAGCGTTGGGTTCATGGTTGGACTTGATGATCTTAAAGGGCTTTTCCAATCCAGGCAATTCTGGGATTCAGATTAGCTCAAAAATCCATTTTAATCTGTCAAAGGTGAATGGCCAAAAGCAGGGAGCCCTGAACCCCAACCCACAGCCCTCCACGAGGCAAGATGTAAATCCCTAAACCCATCACGGCTGAGACACAGCAGCTCTGCCTTACAGAGGAAGGAACATTTCTGTGTATCTTTGCAGAAACCAGCCCATGGGTGATGTACCAGCCCGGCAGCATCTCCTGCAGCTCCGGCCTCAGGCTGCTCAAAGCACTTTGGTTCTTTCCCAAGTCCGGGAAAACCTTTGGGAAAGGGAGAAGCAGCATCTTGGCAGAGGGATGTGCCACCCCTGAGCACCAGTGACACACCAACCTGGTCCCTCTCTGGTTACAGCTGATGCCGCAAGCACCAAGCAGGGCAGCGCAGAGATTAATGGTGAGCAATTGTTTGTATATATATATATCCATATATATACATAATTGGATATATATATATTACTATCATTACTATTTTAATTTTATTTTACTCCATTTATTAAATTGTTCTTATCTCAACCTACAAGACTCCTTACTTTTACCCCTCCAATTCTCTCCCCTATTCCCTGGGGGGGTGTATGTGAGTGGCTGTGGGGTGTTTGGCTGCCAGCCCAATTCAACCATCACATCTGGCAACTGCTTCCACAATCACAGACTGCCAGGAAATGGGACCTGTAAGTACAGGGCAGGTATATTGGCTGCACCTGTGTATTTATGTGGCATAATTCAGTTTAAAGCCCTGGGGACCACAGAGCCAGCACTGCCCTTAGAGTAAAACTTTCCATCTGCTTTGCATCCCACATCCCTCTGCGCACGATGGGATGATGAGGGACTGGACAGAGCCAACCACAAGGACATCAAGAGTCAATAAAAAACATTTCAAAGAGAAAACTGGATTACTGGGCAGGGAAGAGCAGAGCGATGGACTGTCTCGGGCAGATTAATGCTTGTTGGTTTCTCAGACACATTATTGATCTTGTTCCTGCCTCCAAATGACATGTTTTAGCAGAAGATGATCAGCCACTGGCTTTTGTAGCTGTTTGCATGGGAAAATGCTTTCTTACGGCTTCCCGGGATACTCCCTGGCAGGGTTTGGGAGCCCTCGCCCTCCCCTCCGTGCACTCATGCTGGCTGGGGCTGGTTTTTATGGCTGGGGAAGGCTGCTGGGTCCAGCACATCCCTGTACCACGGCTCTGCCAGCACCAGACCCGCTGGCAGGTGACAAAGCCACACTCAGGACCAGGCACTGGCACCTCTGCAGCTTGTTACTGTCTGGAGAGAGAAATCCAACACAAGGAGCAGCGCTGGGAAAAGTGATTTACCTTGCAAGGGTGGGGGTCAACCCCGTAGGTCTCCAGAGTCTGGGCTTTCCTGAGAAAATTCAGCTCTGAAGTAGCTGGTGTCTGTCCACTATGGGAGGGAAAACAGGAAAGAAAAGAAAAAGAATAGTCCATGGAAGACATGAAGGTGAAAGTCAGCCCTCAGCTACAGGGCTTCTGGTAACGCCGAGAGGCATCAGTCACGGCACATCCCCGGTAATTCGTTAGCACAACCCCTCTGCAGCAGCAGACCAGCGCTGAAACCCAGCCTGCTCCTCCTGCCAGCCTGAGCCAGCAGGAAAACGCTGAACCAGCAGCACCAGAAAGGACCAAAATTCTGGAGCATCTGCAAAATTGAGGGCTGGATTTCCTATACACAGTGCGGGCACTTCTTTGGGGGGAGGAAACGGGTGTTGGCTGGGTTTCTGGGAGGTTAAAACCCACCATCCTCCCCAGGGGCTGGTGTGGGGGTCCGGCTGGGATGCGGCCCCAGTGGCATTGCCAGTGTCATGGGAGGATGGGGCTTTGCTGATGGTGTCCCACACCTTGTGTCCCCACAGCCAGGGGAAGGCAGCAGGGGAGATGGCAGGAGGGGATCTATGGGGGACAGGGGGTTGACCACTGTCCCCATCCCACTGGGAAAACCAGGGGCCCCCCAGGTTCTGCTGGTTGAGCCAACAGCCAGGAGCAGGAGAAACCCCTCGGTCCTGCCTGAGGCTGATTTGGCACCAGGACTGGTGCAAAAAATCCGCATTGCTGGCGGATTTTTAAATGTGTCTGCACCTCCTGCAGCTTCTCCTCAGCTGCTCAACCACATTTTCCTCCCAGCGAGCAGAGGTTTGGTGGGACACAGCAGCTCCTCTCATGGGGGGGATTTGCTGTCATGCCTCTACCCCCCCATCCCACCTGCCTCCCCACAGCTCACTCTGCTCTGCTCGGCATCTCAGCTTTTACCACCGCAGCCCGGAGCACTG